CACGCACACCCCCAGCTGGAAGCAGCCACAGTGGCTTGCAGGAAAAGCAGGAAGGGCAAGGAGCATCTCACAAGCCAGTTTATGCGGAAGGAGGAGCAGCCTCTGCGTTGGGAAACTTCGGGACGACAGATCCAATAAAACTCATCTTCCCAGCAACAATTGAGTTCACTTTAGTTAATTGTAATGACTCCCTTCTGCCTCCTCAGAACACAGGGCTCCGGGGTAGCCAAACACTGACAGATTAACCCCGGTGCAGAGCTCCGCACGGCCCCGGGCGCTCCCAGCTCGGTCCGGAAGGCTCTGCTCAGCGAGCGGCCCCACCAACTCATAAACCCCATAATGACTCCCTTCTGCCTCCTCAGAACACAGGGCTCCGGGGCAGCCAAACACTGACAGATTCCTCAGCTTTTCTCTTTGGAAAGGTTTTAGAAGGAAAATGCACCAGCTCTGAGAAAACTGCCCCATGGCCCCGGTGAGGCCTGAGGAGTCCGGCTGGCCCCGGCTCACGCTCCCACGTGAGGACAACCCTGTGGCCAGGGGCCTGCTCTGCCCCAGCCTCATCCTCCTCGGAGGGATGCCCAGGACCGGAGCAGCAACAACGCGACCCGTGGCAAACCTGACCCCCAGGACGTGGCCACTGAAGACGTCCAAGAGCCCATCAGAGCCAACGCGGTGCCTGTTCTCCCAGTGCTCCAATCTGCAGCTTCCCCAGCCTCATCAGCTGCTGAATATGCACGAGGATAAATGTTTGTGGTGTTTACTCCTCGCTGCTTTGTCTCAACAAACTCTCTGGGAAACGACAAATACAGCTGCACTCCAGGGCCGCGAGGAGCACCCGCGCGCCACCGAGATGCCGACACCACCTCGATAAATAATTACGCCGACAATTAGCTCATTAACAGAGAGCTGCCTTGTTGGGGAAGTGCAGGAGGCACCACGGCGAGGCTCGGTACCAAACCCACCGCAGACCCAGTCACCGCTTTACAAACGAGGCTGTGGCAAAAGGCGGAGGGACAGGCAGAGAGTTGTCACTTTTGTTGTCACCTCACCCTGGGGGTGAGGCCAGGTAAGGACACAGCAGGGTCAGCAATGCCATGAACCACCTCCCTGAAAGAGGGGCAGAAAACTCGAATATCTTCCAGGAATGAGGGAAGCAGGAGCCGTGCATCTCCCTGACATGCCTTGTCTCATTGCCTCCCTTCAAGCCCACTTACAGAAGCAATGAGGGAGCAGACAGGAGAGGCGAGATTCCTGCCATTTAGCGTTATTAATTGGTCAGTAATTTGCCAGTTAATACTATTATATATACCCCTCATCTCACGCCTGCCATTCACCACCTGCCTTCCCGCTGTCTCTCTGGGGAATCCTCCGCCTCACAGCGGAGCGGGTGCCGAAAGGCGGCTCCCGCCGTTCGGAAGCTCTGCCCCGGGATGGGGAAGCTCCAGGGTTGAATCCGTGCTCGCTCCATCTCTCTGACAGACACTGGCAAATCAAATACTCTATATATACCCCTCATCTCACGCCTGCCATTCACCACCTGCCTTCCCGCTGTCTCTCTGGGGAATCCTCCGCCTCACAGCGGAGCGGGTG